AAATGTGCATGGATTTCACTATAGGAAGAAAACACAAATCTTGCAACCTGGTATGAAACACAGATGGGATGTGGAGCAACTCAGTACACAGAACTGAGCCACCATATTTTTTTGCATTTAAGAGAGACATGAATCACTTTGTATTTTCCTTTTTTTGTAATGTACTTCCTGTTTAAACCACATCTCAAAACCTTACTGAATAATTCAATGGAAGCTTGGCAGCAAGTTACACAGGTCTCTTGGTCAATTATTTATTCACATACCAGTTTTACTTTCTATTTAAAGCACAGAATGTTGAAAGCAAACAATTCTGCTGCCCATGTTACAATATGTTACCCAAACAATATGGCAATGCAAAAAAAGAAGAGACAAATTAGAATAAAAATTCATTTTGCTGAATGCTGTTTCCTAGATAATTAGAAAACTAGGGATGGGAGTGCTTACAAGGATGTGGAGATAGGCTAATTAGAGGAATTTCAGTCAGTTAATTAATAGGTTTTAATTAGGGATTTGAAAAACCCTCAGTCTCAATTTTGTTGCCTTTCTCCAAATCCAACCGGTGTTACCATATCATTCTTTGTTTGTACCATGTTGTGAGTCTTGATTTTTAATCCCCACATGGAAATCTATGTGCATTTTATGTAACCATTTCCCGACAAGAAACACATTTATACACTTTTTCTAAAGGACACATTTTCTTGCTCATTGAATAAAGTGTGTTTTATGTTTCTAGTGTACCCATGCTACTTGTCTGTATGTGTATATATATGCATGATTTTGTGCACATGAAGTATACTGCGTGCATTGCAAACATGCCCATTTTAAATGCACAGTCCACTGTACATAGCAAAGAGTTTTGGGAAGTGTGAAATGGATAATTTTGGAAGCATTCTTGGTCACCAAAATACGTTTCTATCCCTACTTTTAACTGATATATTTACATGGGATTACAAACAATAGTATGGGAAGCAACTTGGGACCTTTACCATGCGTACATTCTAAAAACTGCTTGCAACCCATTACCAAGGAGGAAAAAAAATCCCTATATTTCTATATAATATTTGGTATGTAGCAGGAGGCACCTTCTTAGAAGAGGTTTGCTTTGAAGAAAGAAAAAGAGAAGACAATGCCTCCTTTAAGATTAACAATTTTGTAAAAAAAAAAAAACCTGGCAGATGATTGTGAGATATTGTGAATAAATGAATTATTCTGTTTCATAAATGAATTATGAAAAAAATTACCTAATACATTTTTTTAAAAAAAAAATCCTATCTTGCATTGATTCCAGGGGAAGCAAGATTCATTTACCAAATCAAAAGTACCATATGTTGGAAATTAATATCTAAATCTATGCCAACTTTGGCTTTAAGACAATCCCATTGTGTACTTTATCAAAATTAACTTTGTCATGTCAGTGAACCCCTTCACATCTGAAAACAAACATTTCCCTTTGCCCTTCTCACAATGGCATTTGCCCACATGTAGAATTAATTTTGTATATTTTTGTGTGAAGACATGCAGGAAGGCTTTCAAACATACCAATGCTTTTCACTGTAAATTGCAAACAGTTGTATCTATTGGTTTGAATGTTCCAGCAGCAATGTGAGAGTGTGAGGAGATTGGGTGGCGTAGCAGTCTCATTTTTTAGTAGCTCCCACTGTACTGAAAGATCCTAGATTTATTTTGGCTAGAGACTGAGTCTGTAATTGACAAGTTAATTAGGGAGGTTCATTGGTTTTGTCCATCTTGAAAATATAGTCACTGTGAAACTGTCTAGGAAGCATGATGGAGAGAAAGCAGCAAAAAATAAATTGCAGATATTTATTGCCACTCACTGGAAAGACTGTCATTTCTTCAAGTAAGACTTCTTCCAAATCATGCCAAGTTTCCTTTGGAATTGAAACTACTTTCAAAACTGTCCCAATATCTGAAAGAAAGGAAGGTAAGATATTTCTCCAATAAGAGAAGTTATATATCAACAGACATTTCATTTTTCCATATTAAAATTATTGTGTTTTATAAAACCTGGACTGACTTATCTATTGGTCTTATAAAAAAATGAATCATTTTCTTTCATCTCTGAGTAGAATAGTGAAAGACAAGAGCTTTGTTCATCCCAGGAGAATTAAGAAGCACTGACATTCACTAATCTCTCCACTTCTGGTCTTTTTGAATGCCTGGGTGGGGAAATGGTGGTGGCAGCTGATCACTTCAGGTGCATTAGTGCTTTCCCTTCTCTGTGGATTAACCTTGGACTTATCCACAATTCTATCAAAATCCATAATTTTTGTCCCAAGACTTGCCTTTGACTTATACACGAGGGAGTCTTATACTTGAATATATGAAATAATCCAATTTAACATGATGATGTTGATGACAACGATGATGATGAATTTATTAACCACCTCTCTCTGCGGCTCATGGTGGGATACAACATTATTAAAACAAGAGATAAAACACTATTAAAAGACATACAACAAGATGCACAGAGTCAAAATACAAGTTAAAATCCACTAAAGAAATGCAGATTAAAATTCATAGCTTAAAATTGACTGGGAAGGTCTGCCAGAAGAGATGGGTCTACAATTGTGTCTGAAATTCTGACAGCTAATTTAGCTATCAAAACTCTTCCAGCAGGTAATTTCACAGTCTTGGGGTGGCTGATGAAAAGGTCCTCCTAGTGACGTTTACCAGTTGTGTTCTGGCTGGTTGGAGAAGACGCCCCCCAGAGGACTTCAGTGTTTGGGGTGGACTGTATGGGAGAAGGCAATCCCGTAGATAACATGGACCAAAAACATGTAGGGCTTTAAAGGTCAATACCAACACCTTTGACTGAAAACTATAGGGTACTCAAAGGATCCATTACTCTTTGAGGGCAGACCATTTAATAGATCCTACACTCCTGCAGAGGTAGGTTCTAGCTGTGATATTAGCCCTGACCTATCCATGACAACTCAGAGGTATTGGTTACCTCTGCCCATAGATTCATATGTTCTAAGCTGAAAACCATATCAAGTGTTTGATCAAATAAGTAGGCCCAGAAACCACTGGGATATGTCCATGTTTGTCATGCATACCATGAATTTCTTTGCTGCACCTGACAAACTGGCCTCCAATGGTTTGTTGAAGTCACCTAGAATCAAAAGTCTGGAACAACACCTCCAACACCAGTTCTGTGAGCTCAGCCAGGGAGTTTGTTGGGTAGCAGGGTGGATGGTACACTAACAGAATCCCTAGTGTATCCCTGTTTTTCACACACTCAATGTGATTCAGTTCCCTCGTAGATAGTCTAGTCAGGTTAAGGTGGTCTTTATTACTCAATGTTATGGAATCCTGGGATTTTCAGTTTGGTGAAGAACCAGCATTCTTTGGCAGAGAAGCTTTACAAAGTCTTTCCTTGTAAAATGACAACTCTCAATTCTATAGCATTGTTTATTGACAGTTCAAGCACTGTCAGACTGTATTAATTATACATTGTAAATGCAACTCCTCCCCCATTTCATGGAATACCCATTTACCATCTAAATAATCTTGAGATGTCTTAAGAGTTTTAATGAGGAATTATGCTAGAATATTTTAATTGTAAAAGAAATCTAAAATTTTGAACTTCCTATCTACTCTAGCTGTCAGCAAGTGAAGAAGGTAGCACACAGTTATCAGTAAAATGTCATGGTTGCTGAGATCCCATCATATAAAGTAGTACTGAAATACTTTGATTAAATAAATAAATAAAGCCTTTAAAATATACATCTTCATTCCTTTGCTAACTTAATTTGTCCATGTAAGGTACAAAAGCCTGTCAGAAAAAAAAATTGTGACAACGGAATATTGGATTATTAAGGTAAGAAGGCCTCTTTCTTTTGTCCAGTAGTGGACATTTATAACTGCAACTTTATCAAAAGTCAGTGAGAAATTTAATCTGCAAAGGTTTCCCAAGCTGTGATTAGACAAATAACCTTAACAAATACTACTGACGTTCATGTGGATCATTCTCTTGATTTTATTGTCTAATATTTGTTATGGGCTTTAGGTTGTAATCACATCATCAAGATATTTTTATGAGTGCCAGGCAAAGAGTTTCATTTACAGAGTGACATAAAAATGCCACAAATAAATTTTGGGGGGAAAAATATGATGGAGATACAAGTTCAGCATCCCTTATTTGGAATTCCAACATCTGAAATATTTTGAAATCCAAAATTATCTGTATGAATGTCTAACACAATGACACCTATGCTTTCCGATGGTTCAGCTTTCACATATCTGAGATATTCCAAAATCCTATCTATCTATCTATCTATCATCTATCTATCTATCTATCTATCTATCTATCTATCTATCTATCCATCCATCCATCCATCCATCCATCCATCCATCCAAAAAACTTCTTGTTCCAAGTATTTTGGATAAGGGTTACTCTAACTGTAAATGTTTTTATTTATATAAAAAGAATAATTAACTGTGGTGGAATATTATAAAAATATTACTTTATAGGGCCAAGGTGTTTTTTTTAATAGAAGCCATTGGAATAACCTTGAGTCCCATTTGGATATCATAGTTTTTAAATGGAAATCCATCTAAAATATTAGAAACAGGGATGGGAAAACTTTGATCGGAAAACTAAGGTTCATCAAAGAAATGGGATTTCACTGGCACCACACAGGAAAATATATGAATACTACAATTCAAGGCAACAAAGATTTGTGAAAGAAAGAAAGAAAAAAGAAACAGGAAAATGGCAAAGGGTCCTGGCAGCCAGCCACCATGCACCCACAAATCTTTAAAACAAATAGTTCTTTCTTAAAAGGATCCCACCAAGATTAGTTGTTTAGTACTTTATAAAGCCTTTGATGTGAAAGGTAGGACGTGTTAAAGGCTGCAGTCTCTGAACAAGCCTCAAGCACCCAAAGCAAAGTTTTATCAGCATTCAAGATCAGCTTTTTGTGGAGTAATATTTCAAACAAATTTTACACAAATTGAATTGGACTCTTTTCAGATCCATAAGCTTCAGTAAATAATGCAGTTTGAAAGATAAAATTACTCTCATTAATGCATGTTTACTGACAGATGGACTCAGAGCACTAAATGATTCTCCTGCAACTTCAAATCAAGTTAAGAGTGCAGATGGGTATAGGAAAATAGGTGTTTTAACATGTTACAGAGAGATTAAACAGGACCACCAATGAGGTGAGAGAGAATGAGTTATTTTTAGGTTGGCATCCTAAAATACACTTACAAAAATGACACAATAGGAACAGGCAAAGACCTGCTCTGCCAGTCTTTACTATAGTCATTTAAAACCTGTATTCTAAAAATCATGACAATTGTTCAGCATGATAATATAGATATAATGGAGAAGAGTTTTGACCGAAACATCTATGTAACATGCTAGTTTACTATTTTCTGAGGATAGGATGGAATCCACACATGTGATTTACTACCTGTAATCTGAAGCAATACAGGCCCCGTCTACACTGCCATATAATGTGTTTTTAACTTCATTATATGATCGGTGTAGACCAGTGGTTCTCAACTTTCCTAATGCCGCGACCCCTATATACCGTTCCTCATATTGTGGTGACCCCCAACCATAACATTATTTTCGTTACTACTTCCATAACTGTAAATTTTCTACTGTTATAAGTCGTAATGTAAATATCTGATATGCAGGATGTATTTTAATTCACTGGACCAAATTTGGCACAAATACCTAATATGCCCACATTTGAATACTGGTGAGGGTTTTTTTTTGGGGGGGGGGATTGAGTTTGTCATTTGGGAGTTGTAGCTGCTTGGATTTATAGTTCACCTACAATCAAAGGGCATTCTGAACTCCACCAACAATGGAATTAAACCAAACTTGGCACACAGAACTCCCATGACCAACAGAAAATACTGGAAGAGTTTGGTGGGCACTGACCATGAGTATGGGAGTTGTAGTTCACCTAGAGTGTCAAGCGAGGGTGGATCTGGACCAAACTTGGCACGAATACTCAATATGCCCAAATGTGGACACTGGTGGAGTTTGGGGAAAATAGACCTTGACATTTGGGAGTTGTATTTGCTGGGATTTATAGTTCACCAACAATCAAAGAGCATTCTGAACTGCATCAAAGGTAGAATTAGGCCACACAGGACCCCATAACCAACAGAAAATACTGTGTTTTTCTGATGGTCTTTGGTGACCCTTTTGACACCCCCTCGCAACCTGACCCCCAGGTTGAGAAATGCTGGTGTAGACTGATATAAAGCCGTTCAATGTAGTTAAGCAACTAAGTGCAATTCAGTTATACCATGACAATGTGCAGCACCATGCTTCTTTGGTCTCATCATACCTTGCTGTACAAATGGGATGTGGAATAGTGCTCCCTGTGCCTTACAGTGCTAAATCTGGTGTCCTCAGACCTTCACTTCTTCAGTCGAATGAAAGAGCTTCACTTCAGTGATGTAACTGAAGTGTAAGATACCATCAGACACTTGACCAGGGCATGCATGAAAGAGTTTCCCAAAATTGAATTTGATGAGTGGATTCAAAGGTGACACGAAAGCATCACAATGGGTAGAATTTATTTAGAAAAAAAACCATACTGTAGAAAAAGCATACATAGTTGCCTATGTCTCATGCTGTTAATAAAGGCCATTACTTTCAGTATGACTTTCATATATATATTTCTATTCCTCTTCCTTCTGCTTAGAAGTAGTTGCTAGAACCTTACCTGTTCCAATGAACATAACATCATACTGGCCATCCTCTGCATCCACCCGATCAACTACAATCTGTGTGAACTGGTAATCCAAATCTGTTTTGACCATAATGGGACGGTTGTTGATAGGGAACACAGGATTGTACATAGCAGGGTGGCTTCTTGCAAACGTGATGACTTCATCTGGAAGGTCCTTGGTTGAATCGAAGCCGCCAAATGTTTTACTAGGACACTAGTGGGAGGAAAAAGATAGAGCACAGTCAAGAGAGTGTTTTCCTTGAATGGTTCTGGGGGCTCACATTTGAATATCGAGGATCTGTTGTGAGTCATATTCTCAGTTGTCGATTTTCTACTGAAATCTATAAAATGCTTTAAAAGAGTTTATTGCTTGTTTCATAGAGTTCAATAATCTGTCATTAGTTTTTGATGTCTAGTTTTATTCAAGAACATCTATAATTTCATTATATACATTTCCTAAAAACCGAGTTTAAGGATCCTCCACTTTGAGTTACTTTAAACACCTTGGATAATTGGGGATCAAGCACAATTAAAAGTGGGTATCACAAACACAATTCAAAGTGGGTATCACTTTTAAGAAGAGGAGGTGTCTCTTCTTCTTCTTCTTCTCTTCTGTCTCCCTTTTCTCCAAATCAATAAGACATTCCAACCATTTAATATAATACCAACAATTGGCAATAGCCTTTTGTAGCCTATAGCAATTTTGTGTTTAAATGAATTCAGATTCCCAAGCTAGTTTCTAATTTTACAGATGGAGAGCAATCTTGATTACTTTCATTAATTAGATAATGATTAATCAGATAATACATATGAAGTGCTTTGAACAAGGAAAGTAATTTAGAAATGCTAAGTATTGTTAATGCAGCTAAGGTTTTATACACAAAAACATATGTGAATAATGTGAGTAATCTTTTTTTTTTGTTTTTTAAAGGGAGAGATCGTTTCTAAGTAGCCATCCATAAGCCACAAATGTGTAATGAATGAATGTGCTGCAAGGCTGTCCACGGGTTCTGTGAGGATTTCTCCTCTCAAATTCCTTACTTCAATTGTGCATCCCTTAGGAAAGCTAAGTGCTAAATGATTTCAAAAGAATCCTGACTATATACAGTATATTGATTTCTTGTTTACATTCCCTGTGTTTGAAATGAAAGCTATAAAATGAAGACCAGCATTTACCTGCACTTTTAGCAAAAAAGTAATGCTTACCCAAAGCTCTGCAATAAGTGAGGAGTCAAAAATGAAAAGATAATTTGACAAATATTTTAATACCTTCTGTGTGTTCAATGTGTTGAGTGTCCTGTTGAGAGTAATGTCTACTGGGATAAGAGCAGTATTATCACATCTGAACGTTCAACGAATAATGCACTTACAGTTCCTGGCCGTGGATATGGTACTCTTCCTTGGAAAGGAACCCACTGATAGTTAGGACCATCTCTGTGAGCGTATGGACCTAGGAATACCCGCCTCACATCAGTCATAGTATACATACAGATAGCGGATCCTTTGAAGATATTGCTAGTGTTGGAAAAAGCAGACAATTCAGGAGGGATGAAGTCATTCTTTTAAGTATAAAGTATAGACAGTTTCAGAAATTTATATATACTTTCTGGAATATATATATATATATATATATATATATATATATATATATATTCAATATAATTCAAAGCTTTGCAAGTGTTATGTAATTCAAATATTTCATGTAGGCAGGCACTATGTTATGCAGTTCTGCTGTTCCATCCTTCTATTCCCTGTGAGCTTGGATTATTTTTTCCAATGCTATGGTGATTCCTCTCTGGATTTTAGTTTGAACTTTAAAGGAAGCCTTGAGGCCATTACTGGATGGCTGCGTGCCAGCAGGTTGAGGGTGAATCCAGCAAAGACGGAGATTCTATGGCTGGGTCAACCGGGCAGTGGGGATATCCAGCTGCCTACCCTGGATGGCGAGGCGCTACACCCGTCATCATTGGTAAAGAGTCTGGGAGTCCTTTTGAACCCTCTGCTGACGATGGAGGCCCAGGTCTGCGCCATTAGCAGAACCGCCTTTTTTCATCTGCGGCAGGCTAGACGGCTGGCCCCCTACCTGTCCAGGGATGACCTAGCTACGGTGATCCAGGCTACGGTCATCTCAAGACTGGACTACTGTAATGCCCTCTACATTGGCCTTCCTCTGTCGGTGATCTGGAAGCTCAAGCTGGTACAAAATGCAGCTGCTCGGCTTCTTGCAGGAATTCCAATGAGATGCCACATAACACCAATCTTACTACAGCTGCATTGGTTACCAATTGAGCACTGGATCACTTTCAAAGTGATGGTACTCACCTTTAAGGCCTTGCATGGTCTAGGGCCAATGTACCTGAGGGACTGCCTCACCCTCTACCAACCCCAGAGATCCCTCCATTCTGAGGACCAAGATCTATTGGAAATTCCCAGTGTCAAGACCTTGCATCTAACAGCAACCAGACGCAGAGCCTTTACAGCAGTGGCACCATCACTCTGGAATACTCTGCCACCTGAAGTCTGTGCCTTGCGGGACTTATCAGCTTTCCGCAGGGCATGTAAGACATACCTGTTTCGACAGGACTTTGATTTTTGATATTGCTGTTTTTAAATTGTTTTAAATTGTTTTTAAATTGTGTTAGATTTTAGCTATTCTTGTAAGCCACTCCGAGCCCCAGGGGAGTGGTGGCATATAAGTTCGAATAATAAATTAAATAAATAAATAAATTCCTAGTAATCTGTCTATTTTGTGGAAAAGGTTTGACATTTTGAAGGGCTGCTTTAAACTTTGGATTGAAACTTGCAGTAGATGGATTGGCTTTCTGATATGAGAGCCATAGAGTTCTGAGGGCTCCATCTATACTGACCATTTAATGCAGTTCTGAGCAAACTTAAAACTGCACCGGCCAGACAAAAAACTCTCATGAAATAATGTGAAAGAGAACCCTTAATGTTCATCAGTGTCCTGTGGTTTGTATCATTACCATTTGGATTCCAAATTAGTTCTAGGGTTCTCTATGTAATTATGTGCACATCCAAACTACTTTCTTCAATACAGGGTTGAAACCCCACTAAACAGACAGTGTACATGGGGCCTAGGTCTCCTGTCCATATAGATGAGATGCTCTTTCCATGTACTTAATGTGGCGGTGCTGCCTCTGTGTTGGCTTCCACATCATCAATGATTTCTGCATATGTGGCTCAGCCTCCTGGCCTTCTGAAGAACTAACATGAATTATTTAGAAAATATCTCATAATATCTTATATCACAAAGGTCTATAAAGGGATTAATCCAGGAAGAAAGCATACATGTTCTTTCGAACATTGTGGCCACTTATTTGAGAGTGATGATATACCTTGCTCATAAGAAGACTTCAATGCAATAACCTTTTGTATCTACTGCCATGCTACCAGTCCAAAGGTTAAGAAAACATTTTCCCTATTAAAAGGCTATACCTTAACAAAGAAAGCTCTTCAAAGCAACGAGCTCCCAAAATGTCTCAATATAAGTAAAATGATATCTACCTTGAGGTTGTAAACACTCCATAGATTATTGGATTTTTAGGGTCTTTCGAGTTCATTAGAAACACATCCTCTGCCAAAAAAGCAAAATAAGGAAGGGACAAGAAAGAAAAGCATCTTAGCCACATTAGTATGAATCAGCAGCTGGTCAGAATGTGACTTTGCATACAGAAACAATTTGACTACTTACGGAGTTCATCAAAATGAGTATCAATGCCATTGGGTCCTGGCACAGAACACATTAGGCGTGCTTTGAGGAAAGTAGTCCATTTGTTGACAAGGCTTCTGTGGCCACCGAAGTCGTTCTGTAAAAGGAATGTAATGCTTGATTTACAGCACAAAACATCTTATTTGTGGATATGAGACCACAAATTCATGGGGAAAGAAACCCAGTGTAATCTGAATCATCTTATGACTTCTTGATAGAATACAGAGTTTTGGGACTAGATATAAAGACTGCTGCTTTATCAGAGAATCATGGGCACATTTCTAAGGATTCCTACTTTAGGGATACATGGACCTGGACTTGAATTTTTTGCTATCTCTTAGGATAGTGATTATTGTCTATTTGTGTACGTTTCTGTTTTTGTCTTTAATGTTGATACGGTCAGTGGACTAATCAATAAACTTTGCTCGTTATCTCTTCCATTATCTATTGATAATGGCCAGAGGCGGCCCTAGGTAATTTTCAATGGTAAGCAAACAGTATCCCCACCCCCACCCCCAAACCAATCACTGATATATATTTTCTGTTCGTCGTGGGAGTTCTGTGTGCCATATTTGGTTCAATTCCATCATTGGTGGAGTTCAGAATGCTCTTTGATTGTAGGTGAACTACACATCCCAGTAACTACAACTCGCATATGTCAAGGTCTATTTTCACTCAAGAGCACCCCTGAGCAAAATCAGCTATACTGCAAATGCTTACTTTGTGTAATGGTTGAGCCGCCCCGATAATGGAATGCAATTTTAAGTTTTTAAAGTGTTTATCTTTTTCTAGTGGTCAGAGAAACCAGTCAGTAGGAAGTCCTAAAATATCCACAATTAGATTTACATGTTAATTTTACTTTTGAAAGATACTCTTTGATTCCAAGCTCATTTGCCTGTTTCCTTGAAGGAAATATTTTTCTTGTGCTCATTGTTCAACCTGTATTTTTGACCCATAGTTTAAATATACTTAAATTATGAAGCTCCACAATTAGATACAGCTCCTATTCTAGTTAAGACCTGTGAGCCCCTTCTAAATTGCCATATAAAATCCAGCTTTTCTGGTTTGAACTAGATTATATGGCAGTGTAGACTCTACCCCCTTCTACACTGCCATTTAATCCAGACTTTCAAAGCAAATAATGTGGATTTCAAATCCTCATATAATACCATTCAAAGCAGATAATGTGGATTAGTGGCTTTGATAATCTGGATTATATGGCAATGTAGAAGGGGCCTGAATGCCATTTTACACAGCCCTAAAATGCAGAAGAAACTGGGATAAAAGGGGTGGTGTCTTAATGATGTTTGCCAAAAATGAACACTGGATTACATTAATGGCCAAAAACATGTGTTAAAAGGGTAAGCTTAAAATCCGATTTCAACCAAAAAATGTACATATTCACATCATTGTATATCCTGCACTCAAGGAAAACACATAATTTTGTTCCTATATTCTATATCCAGTCATATGAATATGAACCCTAGTACTTGTGGATTAACTGAAACACACAGATGTTGTCAAATAGTGTTCTGGGTCTGGCATGTAGTTTCAGTAAAGCTATGGCAATTCTCTGACTTCCCTGTTCAATACAGTGGTGTCTGTGGTCCCATATTCTTCAGATATAGCAGTTGGTTCAGTTGGCAACCAAAAACAATAATATAGGGTTTCTGAGTTCGTAACTTCACAAAACTGGTAAACAGATGAGAGAATACATATTTCTTGTTAACAATAAGCAAATCTGCTACCAATTTCTTCAAATCTTGACTGTAATCCTTAACATTGATCTGGGCCCAATTTGTGATTTGACCCAAACCCAAATTTGAGTCTGATTTGGAAAGGCATATCCAAATCAAAGGCTGAAAGAACATTTTCAAAACAGCCCCATTGCTCTAGAAATAGCACATTTGTCTTGATTCCGAAAGTGACACATTTGCTATTTTGAATCTATTTAAAATAATATGGCCAGTTCGCATTAATACCTCTCCTGTTTTTTTGTTGTTGTAAGACTGAGTTAACATTTCTGGTCTTATTTGAGAACAAACTGCATTTTACATTATGTCAGGACACTGGATAATGTGATTTATTCTATATAGTTAATTTAAGTAAACGAGAATTCAATTGAATAAGCCTTCGAAAATACATTTAATTTGGCTTGTTTTTAATCACGTAAAATCTGGACCTTCAATATTGTGATGGCACGCTGGGAATTGAATGAAAACTATGCACGTGTCTGGCTATTTTCCCAGTGACCATCAGTATGCCCTATATTATTATTATTATTATTATTATTATTATTATTATTATTATTATTATACTTTATTTGTACCCCGCTAGCATCTCCTGAAGGACTCCATGAGGCTTACAAAGGCCAATGCCTCAAAACATAGCATAAACAATACACAACTTAAAGCAAATAAAAAACAATTAAAGCAATATTAAAACAACAAAACAATAAGAACAATACACCAAAACACAATAAAAACTGGGGCCGGGCCAAAGTAATGGGTACAGATTAAAAGTGCTGATGTGACAGGTGATATATCGGATTTCAGGGTAAGTGCAGTGTGCCAGAATCTTAAGTTCTACTAAAGTGCTTCTGGGACTTGTTGTTGGAGTTTTCCTATTCTGGAAAGGCACATCGGAACAGCCAGGTCTTCAAGTTCTTCCTGAAGACTGCCAACGTAGGGGCCTGTCTAATATCTTTGGGGAGAGTGTTCCAGAGTTGGGGGGCCACCACAGAAAAGGCCCTATCTCGCGTCCCCAGCAGACGCGCCTGTGACGCAGGCGGAATCGCGAGCAGGGCCTCTATATGTACTTTAATTCTTTAAAATAAGACTCTGGAGATGAGATTAAATTAAGTTTACTGAACAAAGCAAAGAGAACTTCTGTTAGAGCTCAATAAAGGTGAATCAAAACAAAGTAGTACAAAGGCGCAGTTAGATTATTGAAATGATACAGGAGACTAAGAGGTATAATGATGGTATGTGCTCTGAGGTAAAGAACAAGACTATATTCTATGAGGTAAGTACTCTATATGATGGTAAACACAGGCTATGATAACTGAGGAAAGTACCACTCTAATCTTTAAGGCATACAAGATGTAATCTTTGTGGCAAATACAAAACTATAGACTCTAAGGCAAGTGCAACTATTCTCTATGGCATGTACTACTCTAATCTATGGCATGTACAGCTATAGTCTCTCAGGTCTGTACTGCTTAGGTCTTTGGCATATACAAGATGTAATCTATGGTCTTTTATATGTTTAACTCTAATCTTTGGCATGTACGTGCTTAGGATGCCTATTTCAGATCGCTAAGCCAGACCAGGCACTTTCTGGCTCAACTACTCAAAGCTCTGCCAAAGAAAGAATGCGGGGAAAGAGTCTTTCCACCAAGCTCAAAGCCAGCAGGGCTGAACCAACAGAGCTAGGCCTCTAGTGGGATCCTAAGCTCCTCCCCTAAAACTCAGCAAAATGGAACAGTCCACCTCCAAGAGAGCAAACAGGGAAATGAACAAAGGATTAAAACTGGGCCAAGACTTCACAAATAGCCATCTAATACAAATACTTCACTCCAAATTGTATTCTAAACAGACTAAACATAGTGTTCTTTACATGTTTAGGACAATGAGGTTCACTTTCACATCTTTAGGTCACAATTTTACCTTGCAAATCTGTCCAATTCTGGCATGTGTGGCTTTTCCAGAGTGTTCTCCATCAATTGCGTTTTCACGGAAGAAAAAATATATCTTGTCATCTTCTGGGTTGTCGCTTTCTGGGATCAAATGAGCACTAATAAACCTAGGATCTGAAAAGAAAATAATAATATGCATTATAGGAATGACACCAAGATATTTAGGATGACACATTGTTCAAGCTCTTGACCTTCCCAGGTAAATTTTAATTTCCTGTTGGCTACATACTTCTGTAGGTGGAAAGCACATCCTTGTATTTTGGCAGGGTTAGGCTTCAGGTGGTTATCTTTGAAGTAGTCACTGGAGATATCTTTCAAGGAATTAGTAAGTTGGATTTCAATGTTTCAAAGTCTTTTGCTTGTGTTGTTAGGCTAAAGTCATCAGCGTATATAAAGCACTTTGTGAATGGTGGTTGTGGCTGATCATTAGTAAAGATGTTAAACAAAGATGGTGCAAGAACACTATCTTGGGGTAAACCATTTTTTTGCCTCCTCCGTCTACTTTTACTGCCTTGAAACTCCACATAGAAGGTGTGATTTTCTAGGATGGTCTGGACAGTTTTTGTAAACTGGATATTAGAAAGAGCAGCTGCCTGTAATGTGCATCACGTCTTTCCCCTTTGCTGAGCACAGTGGGTGGAAGGTATTAGCTTTCTCTGCCTATTCTCTCCCCTAACAACCTCCTGCTCCATCAAAACAGTGCCAGAGCATCAGGCCCGTAGCCAGGATTTCATTTCGGGGGGGGGGCTGATTTTTTTTAGGTTTCGGGGGAGTTTGTTGGGGGGGGCTGAGTCTGAGTGAAAGAGGGTCTACACTAGCAAACCTTTTGTATCATTACCCCAATACCCCCATGCATATGGGATATATTGAGTATGGTGATCAGATCATGATATGAATAAACATAACAGTTTAAATAATGCACCAGTAAGGCCTTTTCGCGAACCACCATGGGAATTTCGGGGGGGGGGCTGAAGCCCCTCAGCCCCCCCCCCCCCCCCCGGCTACATGCCTGCAGAGCATCCTGTCTTCCTTCAGATGAGATCAGGCTGTGTGTGTGTTTGTGTGTGTCTCCTTCCCAGTTTCCTGAGAGGAACAATTCAATCAAGATAAGAAAGTTATTGGATTCCACCCACTAAAGACCACACTATTGTTGATGAGAACACTGGTCTAGATATACAACCTCATCGGATGAAGGCAGATAAGCGACTTCTTCTAACTTCTTTGTGTTGCTGCCATAGAGTCCCCTGGAACCCAAAACATGATGCAGGCCTACTTCCCACAGGAGTCTATGAGGCTCTGTGCCAGCAGAGTTGCAACAGTGGAACCCAGGGAGTTAGGTGTACACCCGACTGCTCATAGAAGGAATGGAAGAAAAAGCAGGGACAGTGGGGAAACAGTGTGGGAAGGCAGAGGACAGACCCTGATGATAGAGAACACAGCAAAGTGGTTCCCTACACTGCACCACAATTTTCTCCACTGCCCCCCCCCACTTTGATGAGGTCCCAACAAGACACAATACTGAGTTCTTACTGGGTGCTCCTACTCCTCCATCAATTTCCCTCCCTCACCATCCCCTTCTAGTCCTTTCCCTTCTCTAAATCATTTTTGTACCTTCAACATACATCTGTTTTTTAGCCTTTTATGAGACTGTACTCCATTGTCCTTATGCTGGTCTCTGACCATAATAAAGATGTTTGATTTGTGTTTTTATCCACACACACACGCACACGCACACACACACATATATATATATTGAAAAAGATTTAATACATTGAATTTGAAACTGTGACAGATGTACAATATATAAGAGAGAGAGAATTGATTGGGAATACCTGAATTGTTGTTAAAACATTAATTTTTAACACAACTTGAATGCAGGCTATACGTTTACATTCCATTTAGATTTGTATAATCTATTCTATATTATATTGCCTTGAAAAAAGAAGGGAGTTGTCTGCTCCCTGTAGCCAACTGAAGCCAGATTTTAACTGGTACACAGCTTCATTGTTACCACAGCTTTTTGAGCACAAATCAAAGTGTTGGTTTTGAACTTAAAATGCCTGAAACGGTTTGCATGTAGGGGTGCATCTACACTGTAAGAGTAATGAAGTTTGATACAAATTTAATTAGCTTGATATGTTGTTGTTCATTCGTTCAGTCGTCTCCGACTCTTCGTGACCTCATGGACCAGCCCACGCCAGAGCTCCCTGTCGGCCGTTACCACCCCCAGCTCCCTCAAGGTCAGTCCAGTCACTTCAAGGATGCCATCCATCCATCTTGCCCTTGGTCGGCCCCTCTTCCTTTTGCCTTCCACTTTCCCCAGCATAATTGTCTTCTCTAGGCTTTCCTGTCTCCTCATGATGTGGCCAAAGTACTTCAACTTTGTCTCTAGTATCTTTCCCTCCAATGAGCAGTCGGGCTTTATTTCCTGGAGGATGGACTGGTTGGATCTTCTCGCAGTCCAAGGCACTCTCAGCACTTTCCTCCAACACCACAGCTCAAAAGCATCGATCTTCCTTCGCTCAGCCTTCCCTAAGGTCCAGCTCTCACATCCGTAGGTGACTACAGGGAATACCATGGCTTTGACTAGGCGGATCTTTGTTGTCAGTCTGATGTCTCTACTCTTTACTATTTTATCTAGACTGGACATTGCTCTCCTCCCAAGAAGTAAGCGTCTTCTGATTTCCTGGCCACAGTCTGCATCTGCAGTAATCTTTGCACCTAGAAATACAAAGTCTGTCACGGCCTCCACGTTTTCTCCCTCTATTTCCCAGTTGTCAATCATTCTTGTTGCCATAATCTTGGTTTTTTTGATGTTTAGCTGCAACCCAGCTTTTGCGCTTTCTTCTTTCACCTTGATTAGAAGGCTCCTCAGCTCCTCCTCGCTTTCGGCCATCAGAGTGGTGTCATCTGCATATCTGAGGTTGTTAATGTTTCTTCCGGCAATTTTCACCCCAGCTTTGCATTCATCCAGCCCCGCACATCGCATGATGTGTTCTGCATACAAGTTAAAAAGGTTGGGTGAGAGGATGCAGCCTTGCCGTACGCCTTTCCCAATCTTGAACCAGTCTGTTGTTCCGTGGTCAGTTTGATACAAATTTAATTGGCTTGATATAATCCCATAGAATTATGGGAGCTGCCAGTACTATCTGGCTGAGAAGGCTAAAGAGTTTGTAAAACCACAATTCCCATGATTCCATAGCGTTGAGATGTGACAGTTAAAGTAGTGTCAAACTGTATCAGTTCTACTGTGTATGTGCCCAATGATGTTGATATACATGACAACATTTACCAACAGTGCAGTCGTACTTCTGGTTATTTGAATAATCATATCTACATGTATGGGCCCCTTCTACACTGACTCATAATGTGGGCCCAATCTAGCATACTGAACAGTAGAACAGACCCAACTGGAATCTACACTGGGATTCTCTCACCCAACAGGGAAGTGGGAGGGAGTCCTTAATGCTCAAGCACATAGTTCAGCACTACTGGGCAGCCATCATAGATGTCCTCCTCAGTCCCTATGTTGTGGCAGTCTTTGTCCATAACATGCAGCTTACTGTATTTCTAATACATGCCCTGATGTCAGGCAAAGTGATGGCGCACAAAGGGAGAAGGGAGAGGGAGAGGAGATAAGTTAGAGGCAGGATAGAAACTCATAAATCAGTAAGCTAAGGTGGAGAATATCTAATATCACTTTTGGTGGGTGACCTTGCTAGGACAATGTGAAAGAGAAAGTCTTTGTGTTTTTTTATACTGGCCCTTAAAGTAGGTTTCCCAATTACTCTATGCTTCTTCTGGGGAATTTTTTTTGTTTGGAAAACTGTCAAATACTTTACATTCAGAAAGCTTGTTAAGAAAAAAATAAAGACAATTTGTTGAGTTGTGGTATAATTATCAGTTCCCAAAGCCTTTGTTCTTAAGGAGACAACAATAGTTTTGATTCTCTGTTAATGACTAATTATATGATGAAGAAAAAAATGAACCACAGAAGTTCAGTGAAATTATACTGTAATTCTCCAAGTAAATTACAGTACAAGCTGCCTAGCTTGTTTATTCTTGAAGAGGTAATTATCTCTTATAACCAAATTTAGATTGGATAAGATGTTAAAAATAATAATAATCTGAATATACATGCCTAACTAAACAATACGATTACACCAAAAAAAAAAAAGATGCAAAGTTGATCTTTCGGCTTACATATGCAAGTTCATCAATTGCTGTTTATGATTGCTTTGCAAGTGTGGCTAGACTAGCAGTTCTATCTGCAGGCAGAACTTCTATGATGCCCATGGTAACTCCAATAATGTTTCTCAGTTATGACATCCTCAACTTGAAAGAGATGAATTATCACTTCAGATTCCTCCAGTGAGATTCACTCAGGTGTGTCCATCTGTGTGCACTATCAAGTAGATATCTACTACCACGGTCATGACTGCTCAGAGGAGAGGGCAAAACAGAAGAAGCATTATAGTGGTGACTGCTTCCTTGCTTGGAGAACATGAATATTACAGGTTATAAGACTGTGTGGATTTAATTTACATTTGATTCAAATAATTGTTTGGTTTTAATTGTATCTAAAATTACGAGGGGTATTTTTTAAGTAAGGTTCATTTTGTTGTAGACACTAGTAGTTCGCGCGCATACCGCAACAAGCACATACGTAGCTAATCTGTACGGTTCTGTTCTGTGCTTTAAAAATGTTTAAGACTATCAACTCATGCGCCGCATGTGAGGTTCTCTCAGTGATACGGTTTTTCTCAGCAAGGAACCTGCCTGCTGCAGAAATTCATTGACAGATTTGTGAAGTGTACGGTGATACTGTTATGAGTGAAAGCAAAGTGCGTAAGTGGGTACGACAATTCAAAGATGGCCGTGACAACGTCCATGATGAGGACTGCTCCGTTCGCCCTTCTTTGATTACAGACAATTTGGTGGCTTCAGTTGAAGCGAGGATTCGTGAAAACAGGTTCTTCACAATAACAGGTCTCTCAAATGAATGTCCTGACATGTCGAGATCAGTGCTTTACAACATTGTTTCTGAACACCTAAAGTTTAGGAAACTGTGCTCCTAACAGAGGACCAACCAAATATAAAAAACCAAATATTTG